ACCGGAGGGGGAATGGGCGGGAGGCTGTCTATGGCCATGAGGGGCCTCAGAGCTGCGCTGCCACCCAGGGGGTTAGGACGCCCAGAGTTTCCCGGGATTCCCAGCTGCTGGGCTGAGTGTTCTGGGACACCTCTGTCCAGCTGTGAGGCTCCTGTCCCTTTAAGACTTTCAAAAAGCACTTGCTTTTATTTTGTCCTGGGGGAGCTGGCTGCAGGGACCCGCTCACAGATTTTACTCTTCTATTTCCCTAGTATCCAGCACTCCATGCAGTGTGTGTCTGTGCTCCCAGTGCAGATGACTAGGGCTGGGTATTTAGCAGTCCTGGGTTCCCTCACCCTCCCCATTCTGACTCCTCTCCTCCCGCCGGGGATCTGGGGTGAGGGGTGCGCTTCGGTCCCACTGGGCCACAGCTCGTATCTTACCCCCTTCATGAGGTGCTGGGTTCTCGCAGGTGTAGATGTAGCCTGGCTGTTGTACTGTATCATCTGGTCTCTCTTTTAGGAATAGTTGTATTTGTTGTATTTTCAAAGATATATATGGTTTTGGGAGGAGATTTCCGCTGCCCTACTCATGCCGCCATCTTGCCGAGCATCTCCTCATCATAATATTTGTGAAAGCTGTTTTTAAGAGCCTATTAGTTTCACAACATACATTGGGACCATAGGTTAGATTAATGTTAAGGGCAAATGATCTTTACACATGACAAAAATGGCTATAGAGAAAAACTAAGCCTATGGGAAGCACAAAGTTGAATGGGATTAGAGTCTCAGAGCTACCACCCAAAGTTTTAAGCAGACGAGTGGTCGGCATGCTGTTCTCTGCCAGAGGTGCCACTGTGAGTCCCTGCAGGCCCCGGGGGCCCGCCCTCCAAGCTCAGATACTGGAGATACTCTTAGCTCCCCTTTGTGAAAGAAAGCAAATGAAACCCCTGAGTGTGAAAGAAGATTGTTAACTGTGAAATGACAGACACAGATGCATAGATACTGTATTAATTGTAGATTAATATTAGTGTATTTCCTCACCTGACGCACCCGTCCTTCAGCCCTTGTTGCTCAGTCAGTGACAGTTGCAAACTTCTGGTTGCTTGGGTCAAATACTTTTGTTTTCCTTTACAATTGTTTTTGTAGTTGAGATCATACTGAATGCAGTGATTATTAGCAATCTTAAGAGCAGAATAATCCCATGCTTCACAGGAAAGATCATAGGAAGGGTCATAGTTTCAGGACTCAAAGCATAAAATAAAACTTAGAGCAACAACTGTGAATTCTGATTCTGTCATACTTGCCATTTCCCTGTCTCTGAATGATAGATGCTAAAGGGATCCACTTTCAACTCTTTTTTATGGTATTTATGTGGCTATTTTAAAAAAATAATCCTGTTCTGCTACTACTTTATTTTTTGGCCTTAGACATTCTCTCTCCAGATCTGACTATGGAAGACAAGGATTTAGCTGTCTTCACAAAACATCCCCCACCAGCAGAGCAAATGTACCCAGGATTACACATAGTTCACATATTCCCCCAACTTCCTCCCAAAATACTGAGGCACAGGTTTTGCTTAAATTGCTATTTAATATTTTCATTACTGTGATTAGGTAAATATCCTTGCCAACTAAGCCAAGTAGTATACTGTAGTAGAATTTGTTTTTCCAAGTAATAATAATTGTGTCCTTTTTATGTTTTCTTTGTTTTCTATGCATCACTGATTCTTGTACACACCTTGCTAGGCCACTGTGCACCCCCACCTTATTTAATAGAGCACACATCAGTTGCACTCATTTTCCTTAGCAATAGCCTTTGTCCATCAGCTGCAACCCTTAAGCCAGCTGTCATATTGGGATTTCCATTTACTATCAAATTTGTAAGTCCCTTCATTCCTCTCCAGGGCTGGATACCTGGTTTTATGATATGTGCATTTACCTTTCTTGGTTAATTTCCTCTTTTTAGTGAGGCATATGCTCCCTAAGGAAGTGATTGTGGGTGGTAAAATTTTTGAGAATGTGTATGTAGAACTGTCCTGATTTTATGTAGTTCTTTTAATATATCACATATATTAAAATATAATTTATATTCAATATATTCACATACATATATGAATATATTAATCATACTTTTGAAGTTTTATGTTGCTTCATTTGGAGTCAGTTTCCTTCAAGTTCCTGTGTCCTATTTATATATAGTGGTCTCTGCCTTTTGCATTAGATATTTCCCTAGATGTCTGATGACCCTTGGCTATTCATTCATATTTAAGAATGAAGCACTCACAGGCTGACTGGAAGCTCTGTGTGAATGACTGCAGCTGTCAACTTGTGGGCCTTATGGGAGCTGATGGGGGTGATTTAATTAGGAAAAAGTACAAATGTCATTATCTATAGGTCTTCTCTCCTAGGTGATTAAAACCTCAACAAAGAATCACTTTCAGAATTAATTCCTTTTCTGAATCCTTAATACAGAATCCACATTTTCTTTGAAATACATTTTTATGGGTTTGATTTTTTGTTTTGTTTCCTCTTCACTTTGCTTCAAACAAGGGAATATGGCTTGCTTTTTGCCCATCATTCATTTACCTGAGAACTTGCCAAGGAAGGGAGGGAGGGAAGGAAGGAGGGAGAGAGAGAGAGAAGGAAAAGAAAGGAAAAGAAAAAAGAAAAAGAAAACGAAAGAGGGGTGGAAGTGAGAGAGGGAGGGAGGGAGAGAGGACGACTTCCTAGTATCTACAGGTTGAGCAAAGGCAGCTAGCTTTAAGCGCACTGCTTATCCAGCAGGCCTGAGCCTACTGTTCTTCCAAATCCAGCAGCCTATCTGACTCTCAAGATGGAGAAGGGACATGCACCTTTTATTCCTACTTATAGCAAATTTCAGAGCTTGTCTTCCATCTCCTATGCCAAATCCCTAATGCATTGTTTTCTGGGAGTTGTAGTTTCTGAGTTCAAAAGGTATGGAGAAGGAAAGTGGAAACAGCATTCTGTCTGGTTACCTCTACAAGTGGCAGTTCACCTGATAAAAGGATGCCTGCACAATTCTTCATCATTGTGATTCTAAGCTCAGAGCAGGCAGACACTGGGGTGAGGGAAAAGGGCCACTGATCATGGTTTCCAACATGTTCCATTAGCCTATAGTTGCTAGCAATGCCTTTTGATTCTGGCAACATGTTTGTGCATTCATGTTTTCAGTATTATTGAAATATTTGTCATCTTCTGTTTCCTTATATATTACTTCATGGTGTGGAATTAGAGGGATGATCTGAATCCCAGTTTCATTATTAGCAATTAGCAATTAGCAATTTTAACATCAGCAAATTGTATAATCTTTCTGAATGTTAGTGTCTTAGTCTAAAAAACAGGGGTAATATCATATGAGTGAGAGGATATTGTGCTAATTAGATAAAGTAGTCCAAGTGGGTTATTAGCAGAGTCTGGCATTTTGTCCTGGCTCAGTAGACAATAGGAAATGCCGTGTTTGGTCCTGTGAACCTAAAGACACTTTAAACCAGATGTTCCCACAGAGCTCAGTTTAGCGATCAATTATGGTGAGTTGAAAGTGCACATCTTTTGCTGTGGAGTACATTGTGCTTCTCCATAGCTCTTAGTGTCATATTCTAAATCATTATTTCTCATTATACATGATTCAAATCCTTTTTAAAAACAGAAATATCAATCACTTAATCAGTCAATTATTATTTAGTTACTTCTGGATCTTTCTTGATTGTAAAAACCAAGTGTGCTAAAATATTTCCTTGGTTTGTACAGAAGTGGAATAATACTTTGTCAATTATTATAACTGTGTACAACTAGAGTCAATGTTTAATATTTTGAAGCCAACAATACTCTAACCCATTTTTAAAAATTCAAATTGGTAAGAAAATTGAAGCCTTGACTCCATAGTACTTAGGAAAGAATTATATTGAGATTGAGATTGATTTTTAAAATTACTTTATAAGAAATTTTTTAAAATTTGAGTTATTATGTACAGAGACTGACATTTAAACCTTCATTCCAAATAATGAAGGTCCTGAAGCACTGTTAAGAAAACCTGCATCAGTGAACTCTGTGAACTACAATATAAGCATGTTGGCATATCAACATTATATTTAGAGCACAGTTACCAGTTGCAAAGAGTATAGCAGTTTTTCATTTGTCACCACATGGCAGGACATGGCAGAAGGTTTAGTGAAATGACCCTGAGGCCACAAAATGTGCCCCAGGTAACAGTGGCTTGTGGTGCTGGGCTAGGAGCCTATATTGTTAAGTAGTTCATTTTAGCACAGGATTTCCTTAGAAGAAGTATATCTGGGCTGAGAATATAACCTCCTAGGAAATATTCAGTAAGATGGACCATGTGTGTAAAGGTTAAACTGCTTTTCCAACAGGTATTCAATATCTGGGCTGAGAATATAACCTCCTAGGAAATATTCAGTAAGATGGACCATGTGTGTAAAGGTTAAACTGCTTTTCCAACAGGTATTCAATGGCATTAGAAGTAACTCACCCCAGCTAGAGACACTGTGTAGTAGTGTGAATGCAAGCAATGAGATCAAATCTTCTGGAAATACAATGAAAGTCATGTTCTTCACTGATGGATCCAGGCCATATGGAGGCTTCGCTGCTTCCTACACATCCAGGGAAGAAGCAGGTAATATAAGATATTAAAAATACACCTGTTTTAATCGTGTGCACTGCAGATGCCCCATTGTTGCTGCCAGTAGCAGCAGGGCTTCGTGAGATATCAAAGTTACACGTAGGTTGTAGGTAAAACAAACATACAGAACCAGGTAGAACATCCATGCCAGACAGAAGGAACTTTCTGGTTTCATAAAGAAAACTGCTGTTGTGAATTACGAACTTCAGAAAAATGCTGTTAGAGAGCTGTGAGCTCAGTTCTGTGCAATGTCGCCACAACAGTTGGTTGTCAGTTCCATGGCCCTCCATCAATTCTTTGTGCAGAGAGATACCTTTTACCTCTTAGAAGATAATTTACTACCAGAAAGTAACAAATTTAACTGAAGAGAGATAGATTTTATTGTTCCTTAGTCATTCATCCTTATACATATTTTCAGTGTAAATGATGATGGGCTCACATTTGATAAAGAATATTTAAAAACTAAGCCAAATATGGCCTTTCTATTCTAAATATCCTCCTACTTTCTGGGTTAGTGCTATTATCTTAGAGTTTTAAAATTTAGGAGGAGTGGAACTGAATGTAAAAAAAAAACTTTAGGTTGTTTCATCAATACAAGGAGAATTTATTCCCTTACTAAAAAGGGCAAATTCATGGGCACTACAATATTATAGTATATGTTTGATCTAATTAAATTATTGGGTCAAGTAGAGAATTGTTCATCAGAAGCCACTGGAACCACTGTTAAATTTAGATAATCCTTTAAATTAAATATTAATGAACAATAGGAACATCCAAATTAGGAGATACTGAGGCACAGCCAAGCCCCACCCACCAAATCTACCCTACAGGAAAATTAAGAAGCTGTTTATTTTTGCATCTCTTTCGTTTCTAAACTCACAGAAATTTCTTTCATAGTTTGCATGAATGAGCCAGCCCTTTACCCACAATCTTGACTTCATCTAGGAAAACAAAACACAGCAATAAAATGTTGCAGTTGTTTTACTTATTGTTATTGTATTGTTTGTATCTTCTGTTATGAAATAAATCCCCCTGCTTTCTTTGTTGCCTTTTATTTTCTTAGTATGTGGCGGGTCCCTTGCAAATTCCCCCGAAGGAAACTTTACTTCCCCTGGCTATGACGGAGTCAATAATTACTCAAGAAACTTAAACTGTGAATGGACTCTCAGCAATCCAAATCAGGAAAATTCATCCATTTACATTCATTTTGAAGATTTTTACTTGGAAAGTCACCAGGACTGTCAATTTGATGCCCTTGAGTTCCAAGTGGGTGAGTCCAGTTGAGGAAAAAGTTCTCCCATTAAGCTATAATATTCTTGTGCTTGGACACAACCAAGGAAGAAGGGAGTCAAATGGCTGTAACATGTATACAAAAGATCTAGGTTGGTCAGACAAAGCTATAATTCTACCTGTGCCCAGCTGAGGGAATATGCTCTGTGAACAGTGTGTGAGATGGATCTGTGTTGACAACTAGGCCCTGTTTTTCAGTTGATGTGAGACTCACCCAGGGGAGATTCTGGTTTGTCTGTGTTCTGTTGAGTTCAGGTGGTCCCTTCAACTGTCATCTACTTTTTAGAGCTCCTATCCTTGGAGACTGGAACTTAGCATGGTCAGAATGTGTTGGCAGTGTCCTGAATTTATAGGAATTATACTTAGAAATCAAAAGACATTTTACAATGGTCCAGATGGAGAAGCACATGGAAAGCTATTTGGGAAATTATTCCCAAGCTTTTCTTTGTTTTTATGATAGGAATGAATTGAGATATGCTTGGTAAACCATAATTCTCTTAAGAATTTGAAAATATCTGCATTCATAGAAGATAAATCCATTTTAGTTCTTTCCTAAAGTCAAAGCATAGGTTAACCAACACACTGCCTCTACTGTCACATTGACACTCTTTTCCTGGTTAAAATAAGAAAAGACAGGGAAGAAAGTTTACATTGTAGATCGTCTATGCTGTTCAGTGTTCCATGTTTAAGGTTCCACATTTTAAAGGGAAGGAGGTTGAAAGCAGTGGAAGCTGGTACAGTCAGCTGGTGGCATGTTCTCAGTCAACTATAGAAATCGGTACTGACTTTGAAAACATGGAGGACAGAATTTTCAAGGAGATAAAGTCTGTGGTCACAGACCAACCGTCTCAGAGGGAGAATGGTCTGGGTTCTTTGAGGTAGATGAATCCAGAGGCTACTAGGGAAATGGAAGTTGTTTGAGAATGCACCCCATGTGATCCTGTTTAACCCTTGCCACCACTACCTGGTTCAAAGCCTCTGGCTGCTAGGGGCAAGCAGAGCAGCCACCTGCTACATGGCAGTCAGGTAAGTGCAGCCTTTTCTCTACTCCCTCATTTTAGAGATGGTTAGAACATATTTTGTTGGCTTATAGAATCAGTGGTGCAGGTCTGACAGAATAAATAGAGAGCAGATTGTGAACTCTGTAGGCGCTCTGTAAGTGGTGAATAAATTGCTGTGAAAAGTAATCTTCATAAAAACACCCAGCTCCGAGTCTGAAGTTCTTGGCCTGAGTACTAAAAATCCTGTTCACTTTAGCTGATTAAATAAAGAGAAGAAATCACTGAAGTTTTAGGTGACTATCACTTTTGGCTTGATGATGTTGGTATTATATTTCTCACTCCATGACAAAAGGCATATCCAAAGGTTTTTCTTTTAATTGAATCTCCATTTAGATGTGCTAAAGTAATTATGAAAATGCAAATTGGAACAAAATAGCCCTTACAGTAAAAAGGTTTACACCTAAAAGCATGTTTGTTTTTTTTACCCTGTTGGAGGGATTCTTTCTTTGGTTGTTGTCAGAGATAGAAAGGAACTTCATGAAATATTCCTTTATGAAATGTTTTTATTACTTATTATTATGAAATGAACTTTATGAAATGTCCACTACTAAATCAGAGTTTAAATGTGTCCATGAATACCTTGAAGTATTTTTTATTATTCATTCCTACCAAATTCATTGAATATAATTCTCAGAAGCTATATAAATAATGGCACTTGGCATGATATTTTGCTCAGGTGATGCTGATGGGCCTCTGTTATGGAGACTTTGTGGGCCTTCGAAACCTATGGTGCCATTGGTTATACCTTATCCTCAGGTATGGATACACTTTGTCACCAATGAACGTGTAGAACATGTTGGATTCCATGCAGAGTATTCCTTTACAGGTAAGATTCATTAAGCTCTCAAACTCTAGCAATAAAATAATAGATAATAGTCTTTTTCATAAAGAGCTTGCAAATATTTTTAGATTTATGTCTAGGTAGCTATTAGTTTGGTTGCTAATATCAATGAGATGTTCTAAATTATATCTTCTGATTGGTTGTTGCCAATACCTAGGAATTTAAAAATTTTTACACATTGATCTTTAGCCCAGAGATCTTACTATACTCATTAGTTTTAGTATTTTGTCTGTGGGTAATCTCTGGTTTTCCTGTGTAAACAATCATGGCTTCTGCAAAAGGCAATATTTTTTTCTTTCATTCCCAATACTTCATTTCTTTTTCTTGCCTTATTTCATTAGCTAAGGCCACCATTACAATGTTGAGTGGGAAGGATGATAGCATCTTGTTTTTGACCTTAATATGAATACCTGTGACATTTCATTGTTAACTATGTTTGTTGCTCTTAGGTTTTCAATAAATATTCCTTATCAGATTAAAGAAAGTCCCTTCAATTCTTAAGGTACAATGCTTTTTTTTTTCCTGTGAATGGGTAAAATATTTTAGCAAATGATTTTTTGCATCTACTGAGATGTTCCTATTTTTTCCTCCTTTAACATGTTAATGTGATAAATTATATTGAAAAATTTCTTTGTTAAACCACCCATTCATTTCCAGGATAAACCCTACTTGATCATGATGTGTGTGTTGACCATATTACTGGATATTATTCGCTAATATTTTGTGTTGGATTTGCATCTGTGACATTTAGTTTGTACCTGAAAAATCATCAAAAGACAGGCAGCACTATTCCGTACTGCTTCTCTAAACCACTGGAGTTTTTCTGGTCTCATTTACTAGCATGGCAGTCCTTTTAAATCCCCAATGTTATGTAAGAGTCTTAATTCCAACCCTTCCTCTTGTGAGGGTCCAAGGCCATGTGTTTTCTTCTGACTGGTCATCAAAACCTCAGACCCCAGACCATGGGACCCACATCTTAGTTCTATATCCTCGCAGACTGACACACTTCTAGTCTGAGATTACCCCTTGGATTTTTGAATACACTTACTCAGTTTTGGTCTTGGGGATCCCTTTTCGTTCCTTTAAGTTTGGCTATGAACCAAAATATGTTTTGGCTATAGTTCATCTAACATTTCTTTGTGTTTTATCAAATGGTTGATTGGGGGAAGGAGAGAGATTGATAATCTACTCAATCCATCATCTTGCCAACTGATTTTTCTTTATCACATTGAAAGAAAAGAGTCGGGCTTTAGGAAGCACTATTATTTGTGTGGAATGTCCGACCACACTATGCTTTAGAAATGTATCTGTTTTTTTACTAGCTATGTTACTATATAATTTGACTATATATTATATATGTATACCTGGCTACACACATGTGCTTGTTATCAAACTGACAAATTCTTCAGTTATGGTACTGATCATATTTTTCAAACTTATAATTATTTTCACTGGCCTAGCTTTTTCAAGAAAGGCAATGTTATTTGCTTTGTCCATTGTGCATTTACTGTTAGTTATAAATACAACTAATTATTCTCCCTTCTCCTTCACACTATGCTTGAGACTGTTTTAACTATATAACTCTTTATATGGGATTCTGTTTATTTTTGTCTCCCAGTAAGTTTTACTCACTTTTATCCAACTTCATCTATTTATTCACTTACTGTTTTTTTTTTAAGTCATCCAGCACGATGGCTCTAAGTACCACTTCCTTAGGCTTTGCAGCAGTTTGTTTGCTTTCTCCTGTCTTATTTAGAAGGTTAAAAATCTAATTTCAGACTGTGGTGGAATACAGACAGGTGAAAGTGGAGTGATCGCCAGCCCCAACTATCCAGCTTCTTATGACAGTCTGACGCACTGTTCTTGGCTATTGGAAGCCCCACAAGGCCATACCATCACTGTGAGTTCTGATGACTGGGGAAAATACTTCTGAAACTATAGAACAAAAATACCAGGGAGTGTGTGCAAATAGAATTCTCTTAATAAGCAAGTGATTAGAACAGGCTTTATCCTGAGATCAGATCATTTTCTTCTTAAAATTCTCTCATTAGAGTACATATATTGGTATTTACAAGTTTACAATTAATGATGAATGAAATCCCTTTTCAAGCACAGGAGAAGCCATGTAGAAAAGACAATTCCCCATCTAAGAGATGTGTGAGCATGTTCTTGATGTGAGTTGCCATCCTAGCCCAGGAGACTGAGGAGGTGCCCCTAATGACTGTCAAAATTTCCAAGAGAACCCTTCATAAGGAAATTGAGGAGGGCAGTGGAGAGCTAAATAAGAGACAATAAACACAAAAGTATATGAATTAAAATAAAAGAAAAGAATTATCTAATTCTAGGTAGATAAGTTTACTGGCAATTCAGAGTGCCTCATGATTTCTTTTTTCTCCTGCAGCTCACATTCAGTGACTTTGATATTGAAGCCCATGTCACCTGTGCTTGGGACTCTATCACTGTCAGGAATGGTGGTTCTCCCGGGTCGCCAATAATAGCACAGTACTGTGGAAGTTCAAACCCCAGGACAATCCAATCTGGTTCCAACCAGCTGGTGGTGATTTTTAACTCAGACCATTCAGTGCAAAATGGTGGATTTTATGCTACATGGAGCACACAAACTTTGGGTAAATCACACAGTCTTTCTATTTACTGCCTTTTTTAATGGATGTATTTTTAAAATTGATTAATGAATTCAACAACTGTACATTTTATAACATTCTCTGGGAGACTAAATTCTAGATGTTTACACATATATCATGTAACAAACCCTGTAAGGAACACACAATATCAATACATATTTTCTTCATTTTGCATGGATGAAATTCAAGCATAAATGGGTTGATAGTTTCCCAGGTCATATAGCTAATAATTGGTAAGGTCAGGATTTGAGTAGACAGTATTTCCCAGAAACTTTGATCTTAGCACTTCACTATGTGGCTTCCATAGGCAAAAGGGCATAGTACAACCAGAGAATCAAATATAATAGAAAAGTAGTATGGAATCCCAAGTATTTAAAAATATTTGGAGTTTGGAAACAAAATGCTGAGTAGTGGCTGAGAGAGCCACTGAAGTTTTGAGTAGCAAAGTGGTAAGATCTCTGACGTAGAATACATGCTCGGTATGTGGCAAACTATCATAGACTGGATTTTGAAAAAGTAGCTTTTATGCATGTAAAGTGTGAACTTCATGGAAATTCCCAGAAAATAGAACTTGCATTGGATACTTTATTCAAGGTTTCCTTAAAGCCTTGCAGGATCACACAGGGCAGCTCCTTCTCGGAGAGTCAGAGTTACTATGAAGGTATTTGTAGAATGAGTCAGACTCTCCCTCATTAAACCACTGGTTGCTATTGAAGTCAGAAAGGTGTTTAAGATGAACCATTGGTTTCCCAAGAGTTTAAAAGCAAAAGATACAAGGAAGAGTCTTCAACTTCTGAGAGAGCCACTGAAGTTTTGAGTAGCAAAGTGGTAAGATCTCTGACGTAGAATACATGCTCGGTATGTGGCAAACTATCATAGACTGGATTTTGAAAAAGTAGCTTTTATGCATGTAAAGTGTGAACTTCATGGAAATTCCCAGAAAATAGAAGAACTTGCATTGGATACTTTATTCAAGGTTTCCTTAAAGCCTTGCAGGATCACACAGGGCAGCTCCTTCTCGGAGAGTCAGAGTTACTATGAAGGTATTTGTAGAATGAGTCAGACTCTCCCTCATTAAACCACTGGTTGCTATTGAAGTCAGAAAGGTGTTTAAGATGAACCATTGGTTTCCCAAGAGTTTAAAAGCAAAAGATACAAGGAAGAGTCTTCAACTTCATTGTGTTTGGAGTTCATCTCTTTTTCTTTTGTCAACTTTTAAGTACATATTTTAATGGTATAAAATAATCCTAGGCTGTCTTGCCAATGGGTTTCAGCCCTGGGCAAGTTCACTATGGATTCAGTGTGACAACAGGAATGACAGTAGAACGTTCTTGGGGTGACAAGTTTTATTACCTGGCTTGTTCTCCTGGTGGTAGGTCGACTACTAGCATCTCTGCCTCCTCCCAGAGCACTGGGCTGAGCTCATCATCACGTGATTAAAGTTCAGTGAGGATCCTGGCCATAGGAACCCCAACTTCCCCATACAGACTTTCTGTCTTTCATTCCATGCCACTTATTTTCATCCATCAGTATTTCAATATGAATCAACCAGATGGCTTAATGGAGGAAATTTCCCTTCCTCAAAATCTTTTTCTCTAGGCCTGTGTTAGAGTAAAATTAGACTTAAGTATGGACTTGTATGCTCATGGGTTAGTGGTAATAAAATACAGAATTTGGGATTGTTGGCTCACAAACTCTGGGTATCTGGATAGAAGCCTGTCCTCTTTTATGACAAGGGTTAGTGTTCTCAGGTGAGTTCAATATAATGTAACAAAACTGTCATGGTTGAAGCTTCCTCCAGAGGCAGTGTACCTTGGAGTAGAGAGGTCTTGTCGACCTGCCCTGAGGGCCAGTGACTCATATGGAAGGAAAGATGAACTGAAAGCCCACATTTAGAAATATATCTTCTCTGAAACTTAGGTTACCAAAATTGTTATTTTCCTCACTAATTAATGACTTCCCATGCCAATTTTTCCAGGTTGTGGGGGAATATTTCATTCAGATAATGGTACAATCAGATCCCCTCACTGGCCTCAGAGTTTTCCTGAGAACATCAGATGTTCCTGGACAGTCATTACTCACGAAAGCAAACACTTGGAGATCAGCTTTGACAGCAACTTCCTAATCCCCAGTGGTGATGGACAGTGTCAGAACAGCTTTGTGAAGGTGAGCGCACTTGTTTATTTCATTGGAGCTGAGCTGGTTTCATGGACATAAACATTTAGACTAGAAATGACTTATTGCCTCTCAAAGTAAGAAAAGGACAATTTCTCTGCTTAGATTTCTTGAATGAAAAAAATGAAAGAAAAAAACCCTCCCTAACAATTAGGAGTTAAAATTTGAACCACAACACACAAATTGTACTGTGACTTTTCATTTGCTTGTCTATAGGCAAAGTAACTTAATTAAGGATACTGTTTTCTGGCCTTATTGAACTCTTCTGAGTACTAACGGTTCTACTTTTCTGCGGAAACTAAGAAAGAATGCCAGATTTCTTTGTTTTTTTCTTGTTTTCTTTTTTTTTTCCTGATAGATCCTCAAGGGTAAAATGAGTAAGGCATTATTGCAGACAACATTTAAAGTATGCTAAAAAAATTCCAGGAAGCTAGAGATGTGGCTAGTGTAAGCTGTCAGCATGGGCTTAAGAGCTAGGGGCTGAAAGGACAGTGAGAGGCCTGTGTAAAATGATGTCAGGGTGGCAGAGTCTCTCTTTCTCTAAAGTCACAAAAGCTGCTCATGTGGCACTGACCTTGCTTTTTATTGACTTACGACCATGATGGCTGCATTATAAATCCGTTCCATCTGTGCTGTTTTGCATCTTCTTTGTTGTATCTCTAAGAAGCTATGCCTTTTAATGGAAAGAACACTGGTCTTATTCATATTAGCCTAGACTCCATTCATCTCTCTTACATTTACCACCTGCATGTTCCCCTATGAGCTAACTAAACATTTGGACTTTAACCATACTCAACCATAAAATAAGAACAATTCATGCTTCAGTAGGACTGTTTTAAGCATTAGAGGTAATATGGCATGATAACATAAATAGTGCTGTATACTTGGAATATAAAACTACCTAATGAATAGGAGTGGCTTTTATTGTCAATGTTATTATTATTTTATATCATCTCTCAAGTTATTTTTTAAATCTAATTGATCCATGCTTACTGTTTGAATAAACACCCTATACTTATGTAAGATGTGTGTGTTATAAAATACATTTATTATACACTTTTCCTGCTTTTTTCATGCAACAAACAAACTCTCTCTCTCATGGACAAAGTCAACATCAAATGTATAAAAGTTAGCAAAGCCTTGCAAGTTCTTCAGTTGTAAAAATGGGGTCTGATAAGTTATTTAGGCCTATTTCTCTTGTGGTTAAATGGGAGTCCCTCTGGCATTAGGCAAGGTCAACACCACTGGCAAGTGGGATTAATTTGGAGCCCTGCCAAATCTAAGTGGCCTGGGGAAGCAGTCTTTTTCCTGCTGGACTTGAGACTCCTGTTTCTGCCAAGAGATACTGAAGTATGTGGGCAGAGCCAGCCAGAGGGGCCCTGGCAAACAACCTGGCAAACAACCTAAACCTCACATCTTATGTAAAAATGAACTCAAAATAGACCAGAAACTAAAATGTAACATCTACAGCTATAAATTTATAGGCAAAAAATAATAGCCAGTATCTTTGGGACCTAGAGATAGATGAAAAGTTCTTGGACAAAACATTGAAAGAATGATCCATAAAATAAATTGATAAATTTTACCTCATCAAAATAAAAAATCTTTCATTCTTTGAAAGCCTCTGTGAAGAGGCTGCAAAGATAAGCCGCAGACTGAGAGAAAATATGTACAAACCACATATCTGACAACAGACTGAATCTAGAATATATATGGAACTCTCAAACTCAACAGTGAAACCAAGAATCCAGTTAGAATATGTGCAAAAGATATGAACAGATATTTCACTGCAGAGGATTTATGGAATGTAAATGAACATATGAAAAGCTGTTCAACATTGCTAGCTGTTAGGAAAATGAGAATTAAAACCACAGTGAGATATCAGCACTACACACCCATCAGAAGGTCTAAACAAAAAAGTGACATTAAACCCTGCAAGGATGCAGAGAAGCTGTATCACTTGTCCATTGCCAGTGGTAACGCAAAAGTTACAGCCACTATGAAAAGTAGTTTGGGGGTTTCTTACCAAATTAAACAGGCACTTACCATAAGATCCAGCAGTTGCACTCTGGGGCATTTGTCAGTGTAATGAAAGCTATGTGCACATGACAACCTGTATACAAATGTTCATAGGAGCTTTATTTCTAATAGCCAAAAACTGGAATCTGTGCACATGTACTTCAACAGGTGAATACTAACACTAACTCTGGCACGTACATAACAGGAGATCCAACTCTTCAGTATAAACGATCGGCAGATTTAACAATTTGGACAAATCACCAGGAGTTACACCAAGTGAAAAAAAGCCAGTTCCAAAAGGTTTACATAATTTGTTGTTCCACTTATAAAATTTTTGAAATGACAATATTTAGAAATGGATGACAAACAGCTAGAGACAGATGTGAGAGCGAAGTGCATGTGATTATAAAAGGGCAACTAGAGGTGTCCTTGTGGTGTTGGAAGGGCTCAGCCTCTTGGTTGTGGTGGCGTACAACTGAACACACACAGGAACACAAGAAAAACTGGGAAACTGAGTAAGATGGGCAGGCTGTATCAATGTCAACATCCTGATGATGATATATACTATAATTTTGCAAGATGCCAATATTGGGGGATACTGGGAAATGTGTACAAGGGATTTATCTAAATTGTATCTTAGAACTGCATGTACATCTGCAGTTATCTTCAATTAATAAACATTAATTTAAAAAAATACTTGAATGGTAAAATGTCATATGCAGCCAGGCTCAATTATAGAAATCCTGAAGGGAAGTCCAGAAGCTTTTGACTTAATGACCATTTCATAACATTTTGCAGATCCAGTGTAGTTTCAGTGAATCCTGAGTCACACAGCAAATGAAATAAGTTCTTGACTGACAAGGCAATGACTATTTAATAACTCTTTCCCGTTATTATCATTGCAACACTTAGGTTCTTGGGTCAAAATCCATTATGAATGACTTCAGGAGAGAGTAAGCCCTTGAGCATACCTCAAGTTCTTTTAAAGCAGTTGAAATTCTTTATTAAAAGTTTTAGCTCTTATCACTTTGCCTTTTTATTAATGTTTATAGAACGGGTATCTGCAGATTATCTGTCTCTCAGTAAATCCTGTTTATACTTTTACAAAATGTGGATAGAAAACTTCTGTATACTGTTTCCCTGGAGAGTTGGAGGCAGAGGTGTTTGAGGAGGTTAACAAGGATGTTGGCAGTGTGCATTTCTTTTCTGACACTTTTTTTTATCTTAGCTATTCAGTAGAATGTCTGTGCTTTTGTTCTTAGTAGCCCCAAGTGCCAGGTGCCTCCCATGTCTAAATAAACAGAAAGTATAATTTGACTTCCATATGATGACTAACAGCTGGATCTCCTGTGCTTGAAAATCAGTTGAAATGATATGGCTTTAAAGTACAGAGAAATACTAAATCAGCCCTATGAATCAGTGCTGTTTCACATCTCTTCCTATGGACTCATTTGCCAAGAAAAGTGTTTTTAATGGTTTGATGATTTATTGCTTCGTTTGAGGAATATCAAATGTGTAATTTCAATGCGTATGTTCAAATGCATAATTTGTTTAATTTGATGTGAAGGAAATGTTGAATAGTCAAGTGAAAGTAATCCAAACCCAATTACCTTCTTGGGCTAGATAATTCTTAGTTACGGGGGGAGGGCAGGGGCAGACTCGGGGGCAAGGGGAGAGCTGTTCTGTGCATTATCTGGATTTTAGTAGCATCCCTGGCCCTTACCCACCACATGCCACCCCCCACACCAAATGTGACAGTCAGAAATGCCCCCAGACATTGCCAAATGTCCCTGGGGAACAACATTGCTCCTGGATGATTCACTCAACTCAGGGGATCTTCCTTGGTTAAACATACTTAATGGGCTTTCCCCCCAATAATGTGTATTCATTACTTAATAGCAGTATTTTCCTTGAGTTACTCAGCATTATGGATACCTTGACCTCTTGCGTAACGACAGCAAAACTTCCCTGGCTGATCTCCCGACATCTTCTCTTTTCCTCTATTCTCCACATCATGTTTTCCAAAAACCAGGCATCAATGAGCCTTCAACTTTCCAGTGGCTCCTTGCCATTTTAGGACAGTGCCCCAGGTCTCTAACATCTCCGAAGGCCTGCAGGGACTCTGCAGCCTGGCCTCACACCTTACTCAGTTTTCACTCTGTTCTTTGAAGTAGCCATGTCCCTTACAGCTGTGGGACTCTGTAGGCAGGCGCATCTCTCCCCAGATTAGGTACATCCCCTTATCACATACTCTGCACAGCTCCATTATGGCTACTTTCATGGCTAGAATTTTGCATTTAAATTTGTGATTCTGTGATTAACATCCTTCCCTAGGCTGGTGAGGATTGGCTTGTTTGGAAATTTGATGCTTGTAATTTATTCCTCAGGGACTATTTTTCAAATGAGTATATCAGTTTCTTCTTTTAAAGTGGCCAGACCAATTAAATAACAGCCTAGGTGTACTTGAGAATTGCCAACCAGTCTAGTAAATAGCACACAGTGACTGAATTTCATCCTTTACATTGAACCTTAAAATTCAACACTGCCAGACAGCAGGGCTTATACCTGCTGATTACATGTATACTTGGAATTCAGGTCTGCTTTCTTCACGCACTACAAATATATTAATTTCCATAGGCTTCTTGCTTGGTAAATGTTCTTTCTTGCAACCCACAACTTGACCTACCCAGCACAAATAGTAAGCCCACAGTAGCACATTGCTGTTCTGTCTCCCTTGGCACCTAGCAAGCTCAGCTTGATCAGGTCCTCCAGGAGAAGGTAAGAGGGAACCGGGTAGTGATGGTTTTTTTTTTGAATGCACTGCCTCACCATGCCAAAATGAACATAATTTCCTTGGGAGAATCAAGAACGGGATATGCTATAAAAAAGCAGCTTAAAAAATACTCTCAAAAGAAAACTGCAGATTTGCATGTGTTTCATTTATGATTATGTTTAGGTCGGGAATAAATACCTGAATTCCGTTTTTTTCCAGCCTAAGCACATTAAAATACTGACAGGGGCAAACCTCAAGCATTAAGTTGTGTTTATGGCTCTGCTAGGTCTGGGCAGGAACTGAGGAGGCCGACAAAACTCTGCTAGCTACAAGCTGTGGGAACGTGGCTCCTGGATCCATCGTCACACCGAGAAACATGTTCACTGCCACGTTCCAATCTCAGGACACCCCAGCTCAGGGTTTCTCTGCGTCGTTTGTAAGCCGTAAGTAGCACTAAATACCAAACCAGGAGACCCTTAAAAGGGTGTAGCTGCCAAAGGCAGACTTGGAAAAGAGTGGGTGGGGGGTGAGAGTACACCAGGATTTGCTGGAACTGGGGATCCAAGGAGAAGACTGGGGGTGGGCCCCCTAATCCTGAGAGTGCACCCTTCCTTCAAAATCAGTGAGAGTGGAACTGAACTCAACGTGGGTCAATCAAGAAATGACATAAAAGACCCGAGTGCCGCTTGCTGATATCTAAAAGTAACCCAAAAATCCAGAGAGGGGTGGGAACTGGGCAGAATTCCAGGTGACTGGTAATTATCAGACAAGGGTGTGCCTGGCATGGAACACATTGACTACCTTCATGACTACCTGAGGGCTTTAAACACATGCTGATTCTTGGGCTTCGCCCGACCTGCCTGAATTCGGAGTTTGCATGGAGGGGAACTGCCTCTGCCTGCTATCACCCAGATGATTCTTACGCTCGGTACCCTGGGAGGTTCTTCATTCAGGATCTTCCCTTCCTCCTCTGATCACTGCCCACAAACTAGGTTAGTGCGAAATGTAGCCTCAAGTCTGGGAACCAATGGTTGCATTAAATTGAGTAGCCAGTGATTGCAAATCCCTGTTTAGGGAAAATGTTTGAGGAAAAAAATTAGAGGAAATGACAATGCCATGATCAGGGCTTTCAGACATGAATACCCTGGAGGTGGTGTAAAGGAAGCAAGGAGAGAAAAGCCCAGGCCTGACCTGGGGTCTTCACTGGGGCCTTGTGCATGCATATGTCTGTGGCTGATTTTAATATCAGTTTAAAAGGATACTGATATTTTTATATGTGATAAATCAGGGAGTAATGGATTAATTAGTGGTTATATGAAAACAAATGTTATTTTAGTGGTAAAATACAGATAGTTCTCTGTTATTTCTGATGCCAGGGATTCATGTGAGAATTTGATTAAGTTGGGATTAGCAAATTCAACCATTTTTTTAAAGCAGGTATTGTTTTGATGGTCATAGTATGATGATAATGAAAATAACATTTTTCTAATAATATAATAAGACATTTTAAAACCATCAAGTGTACTGCTCAGGCACAAATCACTTTTCATCATTTTAGTTTTTTGCCTACATGAACATTAAATCTTTGGTAAGTAATCCTTTATTTAATATATTAAATTAAGTCATTTGCAATAGATATGTGTTAAAATTTCTACGGCTAAGCACAAAACTCTGCAGCATTTTCTGAAACATATAATCTCAATTTGCATGTCTATTTATTTTTAAATCAGAGCTCCATACTGGTAGTTAATGTTTCCCCATTTGGAGTATCTCAGGGATTATGTCTCCAGAGAATTTAGGGAATTTGAGTCTTTCACTCACTGAGAAAGATACTACAGTGAGAACAAATGTTCTGAGGATGCCTTTTGCCTCCCACACAGGATGCGGAAGTAATTACACTAACCCTTCAGGTTACATTGTTTCTCCAAACTACCCAAAGCAGTACGACAACAACATGAATTGCACCTACATCATAGGAGCTGATCCTCTGTCCCTTGTTATCTTGACCTTTGTGTCATTCCATCTGGAAGGTAAGTTTATTCTTATTAAATTACAGTTGATTCTTAATAAATGATCAAGTGATAAGTAGAGGCAAAAACAGACTAAAATCACCATTTGATGAAAATATTTAAAATGTTACAATGTATATTTGAAGTAAATTTTGACTAAAATTCCATCCCATATTTTAAGAATACCTGTACTATTCTGTATATTTCATCCAAAAGTGAAAAAAATAATTCAAGAGCTTTAAGAACACATCATGTAAGTTGCTTAAAGAAAGTAAGTTTGAAATGTGATATGCATTAGTAATAGTTTTTAATTTATTCATTTGCTTTTATTCTATACACATACATACATACATACATACATGCACCTGCCTGCATGCATATACCAAAGCTAGCAAGAGAAACTGTCCTGCTGAGTCAAAAGTGGATGCTTAATCAATACTGAGTGATTATTAATTATTAAATCAGTTAATAATGTCAATAAATATCTGTGCTCTACTTGTATTAAACATTATCACAGGACCCCTTTCATCTCCTTTCTCTTCCTCATCTTCATCACTTGCACAGGGACTGTGAAATCCCTACCACAGCAGCCCTTGGGGTTCATGCCTCAGCTCTAGTGAATGGGCTGTCGAGGAGCTGCTGGCTCCATTGGGCTCTGACAACATAGGCACAACCTGATGATCAATGGGCCCTGGTACCTATTGATCCCTTCAAGTACCTGGGTGTCTTCAGCCACTCAGTCATATTAGTATTTTTCACAAATTAACTTTCCATTGCTAAATTGCAATTAATCTATAAATTTTCCAGCACCCTCTGCATAATCAAAATTTCTTTCTGTTTGGGGTAGTCTCCCATGGCAGTGAAAAGTTACACTTAGCAAAAGGTCATGATATATAAAGCATTAAGGGAAAATAAACAGTTTATATGAAATAATCTGATTTTCTATTATCAAAAGCATATGTGTGAATAAATCTGTAAGACTATTATGCAGTACTTTAAGAGTTGTTACCACTGTGCCATAGATTTATAAGTGATACTTATTTTTGTCTTCATACCTTTTCTATTAATTTTGTAATCAGAAAAAAAGTTGTTTTAAGTACAGGGGGAAACATGTGGCTTGGATTGTGTATTTTATGCACATTTGTTCTCATCACATAAACACAAGAATGTCATATGCCAGTATCATTTAGGCTATAAAAGGAGGTGCTGGTAAATATACTACATAACATTGCCACAGAAGCACTGCTAATACCAATGGCATATATATTATTACAAGGCTGCCTGTACTGACTACAAACAGTAGCTTCCTGAGTTTGGCTGGTGGGATAGGTGGTCAGGGTGCTGTGGAACGGTCTTGGGGTGTGACGGGTCTCATTTTAGGGTGGGTCTCCAGACCAGGTCAGCCACTTATTAGTCACATGACTGTGCAAATTACTTAATCTTCCTTTCTGATATCCACTTTAATTCTTAAAAAATATAAACTAGTAGTTATGAAAGTCAGATGATGCCTGTAGAAACATATTTTGTGAAATATAATTCATCAGCATGGACATTGTTTCTTTAATTTTCTGCCAGCAGCAAGGATCCCCAGACATGCCCTTATACAGATCATCTGAGAACTGATCCTTGGTTTTGACTGATGGAGTGATTTCTAATCTAATGGATTTGCTAATCCCCACCCAGGTGAAGAGACTGATATTTTTATAAGATGGTATCTTATGATGTCTTGTGACAGTTCCAGTGTTACAAGCACTCAGCATTTCAAGCTGTTAAGTGAGTCATTTCTGGCTATAGATTAATTGAATTATGATGATTCTCAAAAGAGGACAACATTAATCAAATTTATTCTATAATTAAATTCTTATCATTAATCATATCAGTGCTGAGGTTCATTGAATACCATCAACAAGCTAGAGATTCATTAGCCACAGTAAAAATAACTAACCTTTCACCCCTTCTAAAGTGAGCCCGAGGAATTCATCTGCAGTATATTCAGATAAAACCAAAACTTGTTCCCAAGAAGAATCAGCTTTTTTGCAGAAGCATTGGTCTTTGTGGCTACCATAGGCCGTAAGAGCTGTTTCTGAGAGGTTCTGTCCAAATGACTGGGCATTTCTGAGCTCAGCATCCCAGCAGGGCCAGCGCTGACAGAGGCCAAGTTGACAGTTCTTGATCGGCTTGCTCTTTTGGCAGGCCACTAGCACAAAAGGTGGATCTGGCAAGAAAAGGAGGGACCTATGCCAGGCTACAAAACCCACTTGTGCATATGTTGTGTCTACTAAACACTGACAACTGTTAGGAAAGGGCTTACCATTTGGGCCAGTGTACTGATGCTCACCTCCATGCTGGTGCTTCCTGCAGGCAGGTTACCAAGGTTCAGTGACCTACGACTGAAGTAAGTTGCTCTAAAAATATGTTGTATTTTACATTGGCTTAATCCTCTATAACTTTCTCAATATTACTACATTTCTAATATTAATCATTCTGTGAACTACAAACTTCTTATCTTTTCTATACAATCATTACTGAAGTATAAAAATCAGTGAAATCGATGAAAAGTCATGGAAGAAATGTCCATTTGAGTACTTATAAAGCAACTTTTTGTTCTCCTGAATTTCTTTCTAAGACCAAAATGACTCTTTGTATTCTTAACTGCATCTTTAAAAGTTGTAAAATAAATCAGAGAATTGATAAATTCAAAATGTTTCTTTTGGTCAAAAATGAAATACCAGAAACAAACAAAAGCTAACATCAAAGCTTGAGAGAAAAATTGTCACTGTTTGTATTTATTTAATAAATAAGTTTAATTAATTTAATTACTATAAAATTATTATAAGATATAAATAAATTTAAATAAAGTTATTAAATAAATACTTATTGTATTATCCCCAATACTGAACAGTCTAAAACTATGTTTTTGTGTTTTCATTATTCATGTGCCCAAGTAGATGCCTCCACATTGCTGAGAAGGTTATAGGTCCTTTTTGCTTTTTACTTTCATAGATAAAGCACTTAGCAGATGAGGTGACCTAAGGCAAACAAATGCCTTTGTACCTTGATTTTTCTATCATTAAAATTGGATAGTAATATGGATTCACCTTGGTGATAATGAAGGGTTTAAAATTCTTAATTGAAAAAATCTATATCTAGGCATATTCTAAAGTCAGTTTTTCTCAGACCCAGAGTTTCTTCTGATAAGAATTGGGGAGTGGAGTAGCATCTTAGCACAGAAAGTGGAGAGAACCAGGAGGGCAAATGCTTTTGCTCAGTCCTCTAGGGATGGCTTCAAAAGAACAGGTTGCAGTGCTGAATTTCCAGAGCAGCCAGAGGGCAAAGGTCTGTGTAGTATCTGCCTGAATTCTCTTTTATTAACTTAGAAGTTCTGGTTTATAGGCTACATCTAATACAAAACTTAAAGGAAAAGGAAAAGAAAATTTACTTCTAAATTTATCCTTTTTCCCTCTTTTTTTCTAACGAGAAGCACAGTTGGTTTTGTTAGCTGTTTTGGTTCACAATTTCCCACCCATTTAATCTAAGTTAAAAAAAAAAGAATGGCATTACTCAACTCCTTACCATTTCTTCTCTTTGCTTTCTCAATCATTTCTAACGAAATCAAAATGTAGGCACATTTCACAATTATTATTTTAGAAAACATTGAGCAAAGGTTCTTTGAAATAGTGCCTATTGATATTTTATTCAAATTGGCCAGGCACTAGAGGAGACCGTTTAATTATGTGAGGCTCCTTGTTTGCCTGTGTTACAAAACTTGGGCCTTTGCCCTCTGTAGGGAGCTCTGTAGGGCACGAGCACATGCTCTTCCTCTGGCCGAATCATTCCTCCATGGAGGAATCCAGTCCCCAAGCTACTTGGAGCAAGTTGGACACTGCTGCCCCCAAATTCACATACCTCTCCCTAAAACCCTTTGCTACTTGATTGAAAAACTTTATCTTTTCTACAATATTAACTATCCCAACCAAAGGTATTTCCCCGTATGTCTGGCCCTCTTTGGCATCTCTCCCTCTCTATGACTGAAGAAGAATTGCAGTCTGAATCTAAATTCCACAAGTTTATACTATTTGCTGAATTACTTATCCTTGATTTCCTTCAATTCTCTCCAAGTTCGTGGAGTCATCATGAAATCCAGAATTGAACATTGCTCTTTAATAAAGCCCAGGAGAATATGATAAAAATTATATTTCAGTAGCATGGATAGAACCTTACCCATTTCAAACAGTAAATGTGTTTTAAAGTTTTTCAGAAGGATGGAAAACAGTCATAAAAAGAAATCATGGAGGATTGTTTACATCTCAGATATTTCAGTAGTAATTATACATCAAATCATTTATTGAAGATAGAAATAAGAATGACCATGGCTCCTTATCTCAAGACATGGGCTCTAGTCCAAGGAGGAAGTATCGTTCAATTTCAGGGTACTTTTCCTGACAAACGTTCATATGTCTGATGGGCAGTAAACTCAATTTTGATATCCATCTTGTCCCTTGAAGAACTGTTTCCACACTTGACTAAGTTCCTTCTCTCCCTAAAAGGTAACCATTCTAGTTGCATTAACTGTGTTCTACTTTAGGGTTTTGTGTATATTTTGATTATATATTCAATTGGTTCCTCCAGTAATTATGGGGTAAAGTATTTAATGATTATTTTCTGATGCCTGTGGTTTTTGTTCTCAAGTGCCTTCTCATTAAAGAATTATGCTGGTATCTTTGTTGCAGTAGTGATGTGATATTTAGAGATGGAGAGAAAGATGTGTATGTGTTAATTACTTGATGCCTATTTACGTATTTATATCTCATTTTCTTGTGCATTACCTTGTTTATGCTAACCCTTGGTATATTCTAAGACTTTAGGTGACTTTATAAGTTCTGATATTATGAAGTGTTTGATTTCTTATGGATAAGATTTGGAGGACATACTACCTTAAAGAAATGACTGCTGGAAGGGATACAAAAATGTTTTGATCCATCAAGCAATTTTCCAAATATAACTTTCACAATTTATTGATTCAGCCTTGAGAGTGAGGAGATTATCTTGAATGTTTGGTTTAGTTATCTGATATTCTATCACCATCTGCAAAAAAATTAAAACCCCTTACTCTGCCTCTCCTCTGCCCATCTTCCTTTATTATTGAATACAGACATTTTATAAACAGTTAGTGAACTTTGGTTATGCCTCAGTATAGATACACCATTGCTATTTCATGAATGAATGTTCTATAATTTAACTAGTTCCTTTAGTTAATTTTTTGGGAACACAATCAAATATATGACATACTTTGCCTTATACTTCCCAACTTTTTCATAATTTTCTAAGATGGCCACCACTGTGATAGTGTGTATCTTTAGGCCAACAACTTGGAAACTAACTCTTTAATGCTTAAAGGAGAGCTGCATTGCTGAGCATGGTGGAATAGAGACTTTAATCAGGCATCAGCAATATTTCCTTTCATTCTGTGGTTTTTGCTTTTACAGCTTTGTATGTTATTACTGGCTAAAGATACTTTTACAACAAATGCACAGTATTTTTTGATTTTCACACTCACCTGCTCTGAATTTTTAAAATTCCAGTGGAGCTTTGGTGTCTGGAAGACAAATCCTGAGGTTATAATTAAGGTACTTAACTTGGCAGTATGCAAACCATGAATCTAAGTTTAATATATTTCTTTTTTTTCCTATTTTTCCAACATCTTATTACTTCTAATTATATGGTAAGGTCATTGAAGTTAAGTCTTTCATATTTTTAACTTGTAGGTTTATGCCCAGTTAAAGGCATTTCTATTCCAGGATTTTTGAAATGAAGGAATTCTTTGAGGTTAATTTAATAAATATATCTTGAATTGATACCTCAAGATTTCTTCCAACTGGAATATAAACTTAGCTAAGGAGCCAAAGTGTATTTCTGAAATGACTTAAGATTTAAATTGCATAGCTGTTTCCTGGTAAAAATACCAATTTTCTCTAAGATAATACACCTAAAAAGGTGAGGGGAGTGTTTAATTTACAGATATGTAAAAAAAATGCATGCATCACGATTCTTTCAGTTAAATGATGATCTTCAAGTTAGCTTAGATATAAAGTGGAGTTTATAGGAGGGATACTGGGTTACTTCATCTCACCAAAGGCAGGGTTAAAAGTAAGAAAGTAGGTAGTGGGCTTTCATAACAAGTGGAAGCAGGAACGAGAATCTTTTGGAATGCTTCGTCTTTTCCCCTCCCTTGTTGCTGCTTTCTGCATGACAACTTAATTTTCCAGTACTAACTTGAGCCCAGTTTTTTTCACATGTCAGGACAAAGCTGCTGTTGTTTTCCTAGTTGAACATCTTTGGCTGCTACTGTTCACTCCCTCTTGCCCAGTTACAGCTTGAACACATCTGACTGGCCTAGATTGGGTCTGACATCCTACCTTGGAGTAGTCAATCAATCAGCAGTGCTCAGATTGGTGGGGTTCTATAAAAAGTAACAGTGATTATGCTAATCCATTCTATATTGATTAGGAATTTTTATGGCACAAGTAACAGGAAACAATTCAACCAGGGTTAAACATAAATGTGCAAATTATTTGCTTTATATTCTGGAAGACCTCAAAGTTGGGTGCACCTCAAATCTTCTGTTTAATCTACTATTTTAATCATGTCATCACATATTCTACCTTTTCTATTATCACTCTGTGCTTCTGCAGTGTGAGCCTCACCCTAATACTGGCTCCCCTCCTGGCTGTAGGGTAGCTGCCCTCACAATGGCATTGTGGGCTTCTCATGCACATCCATGCAGAGAAAGAGCATCGATCCAATGGCATGCTGGAGTTGGCTTGGACCAACTGCAAGAGTCAGTCATGTTCCTCCATTCCTCATGTTAGCATCTTGAAACTGGATATGGTGGGTATATTTATACCACAGAAATTGGCAAATGCTGCAAATCAGGACTTTTTTCTTTTCTTCAGAAAGTTGGTTGTCATATTTACAAGCATACTACTGTCTATTCCCGATTCAAAATAAGTATCTTGAAACTTAGCTTAATTGGATTGGCTTAGGTCACATGACCACCCTTCAACAAAGATCTATGGCCAGGGGTCTTGACATTATAAAATGAATGTATATCTTAACTTCTTTAATTCATAAGAGTGTTCTAACAACAGTCAGGAAGTCTGATTCTAGAGCTATGTCATATTGTGAACTCTTACTATAATGTAGTTTTGGTCAGTTCCAGTGGAAAGTTTTTAAGTAGGTACAGTTTGTGTCTAGGGTCGGGAGAGGGAGGTATGTTCAAGTTAGTATCTTTTTGAAATAAGTGTTTTTTGTAAGTAAGAACATGAAAAGTATTCCACATCAGAGCTATATAAATTAAATATCACAATGAGCTACCATTTAATTCGTATCAGAATGGCTAAAATTAAGAAGAGTGACAATAACAAATGTTGACAAGTATGCAGAGCCACTGGAGGCTTCATACATTTCCTAATGAAAATGTATACTGATATAACCACTTGGAAGAATTGATTGTATTTTATAGAATTAATTACACAGCTAATTTATAGAACAACTACACAGCTTATTATAGCATTAAATACACAGCTAATTTATAACCTACCAAGTCCACTCCTAGGTATTTACTCAAGAGAAATAAAAACTTATGACCATGCTAGTATCCAAAGTCTTACATGTCAACAATGAAAGATGTATAACCCAATTAAAAATGGCAAAGGATCTGAATAGATATTTCTTTAAAGAAGATATATTAATGGGCAATAAACACATGAAAAGATGCTCAGCATCACCAATCACTGGGAAATGCAAATCAAAACCACAATGACATATCACTTCATACCCACTAGGATGGCTAAATAAAAAAGAGACAATAACAAGAGTTGGTGAGAATGTGAAAATTGAAACCTCACTCATAGCTAAATGGGTTGGTAAAATGGTACAGCCTCTTTGGAAAACAGTTTGATAGGTCCTCAAATGTTAAACATAGAAGCTACCATGAGTCAGCATTCTATTCCTACTTATACACCCAATATAATACAGTTCAAAGAGAACTGTAAACATATATCAACACAAAACATTATACATGGATATTTGTAGAAACATTTATAACAGCTGAAAGGTAGAAACAAACCAGATGCCTGTCAACTGCTGAATGGATAAACAAATGTGATTTCTCCACACAGTGGAATACTATTCAGCCTTGGAAGGATGGAAGTACTGACACATGCTACAACATAGATGAACCTCAAAAACATTACCTTAAGTAAAAGCAGCCAGTCACAAAAGGCTGCATATTATACAATTCTGTTTATGTGAAGTGTACAGATAGACAAATCATAGATACTGAAAGTAGGTTAGTGTTTGCTTATGGCTAGGAGAGCAGTCAAGAGGGAGAGGGAAATGGGGAGCGATTAGTAATGGGTACAAAGTTTCTCTACAGGGTGGTGAAAATACAGAATTGTGAAAAATATCAGATGCTAAAAGTGCTGTGAGACTGTGAACTAGTAATAGTTGGACATTCCAAAAGGCCATTTGGGAAGCCTGAAAAAGTACCAGTAACTCAACTTCTGAAAATGTATTCTACTGAAATAATAAGAAACTTCTGTAAATATTATATATAAGAATGGTTGTTTCAATAGTATTTTTAATCACAGAAAGGTGGAAAAGATAGAATTATCAAGCAATAGGTGAATAGTCAAACACAGTAAGGCATATCTATACATTAGAATTTGATAATATGCATTAAGTTGAATGTTGAAAGAATAATCACATAAAATGCATTGTTATTAAAAATTAGGTTATGAAATATCATGCTCAGTATGATCCCAATTAATGTTTTAACAGTATAATTAACCTATAAAAATGACTGGGTAAGTTGTAGTAATAAAAGCCTTTTTAATTTCTTGGTCATTCTGTTTGATATTTCTCTTTGGAATGGGTTGGGGTGTGTATTTGTATATATATCTTGTACCAAGTTATATATATATGGTTAGAAAAGGAAACTGATTTTAAAATCACTAAACTCTTAAGCTAATATTGTTTCTGTGAACATTTATAATGGTTGATCAATAAACATGAAGGAATTTCTAGTTACCTTTCTATGGCTGGAGACCCTTATCAGTGTGTAAACTTGAAGTTAAAGCAGGATTTCTCAGCAGCAGCACTGTTGACATCCGGGCGAGGTAATTTTTGTGGTGGTGGGAGGGCAGAGGGTTCAGGCTGCCCTGAGCATCGTGGCGCGTTGAACAGCATCCCTGGCTGCTAACCACTCCGTGCCGGTGGCACACCCCAGCCTTCCAGAAAATAATGTCTTAATATGCTGCCCAACATCCCTGGGAGGAAAAATTGTCCTCAGTTTATAATCACTGAATTAAAGAGCCATTTAATAGAGGAAGAAAATTCTGGACTGTTTCAAAGTGGGATTATCTGTGGTGAAGTTATACCTGTTTCTCACCTGTACTTGTTTTATAACTGGGGTACATATTGTTTCACCAGGAAACTAAGTTAAATAACAACTTACCAAAATAGCTCTTGATTCTCCTTTTATTTCCTATGTAAATTGCACGAATCTTTACTACATTTTTGTTTGAATACTTACAACATTAAGTGTGTATATTGCTTCTTATTCTAATGCTGGTTATTCCATGCTTTGTACAGCTCGCTCAGCCATAACTGGAAGCTGTGTCAATGATGGGATACACATTATCAGGGGTTACAGCCTATCTTCCACGCCTTTTGCAACCCTGTGTGGTGAAGAGGTCCCATCTCCTGTCACCATCTCTGGTCCCATGCTGATTAACTTCTATTCCAATGCACACAACACGGACTATGGTTTCAAGTTCTCCTATAGGATAACCTGTAAGTAGTCATAATGGTGTAGTTTGGAATTTTCTTTTTTTCCTGAGCAATTTCCCTAGGGAATTTTAATTGTGATTAATACATCACCAACTTGAACATTCATAGATGTAAGGGGAAAAATTATCAAATAGGTACAGGTCTATAAATACTTAGCTATTCTTCTTAAAAAAAATAGGACGTTTTTCATGAACTTTGACTAGAACTGCTCTTTGAAAGTTACATGGAAGATTGAGACTTATTTTGACTAAAATGAACATTCCTGCTATATTTATTTGTTCATACATTACATAACAGTGTCTTTTTGGCCTGGGCTATCCAGATGTCTGTTTTATTTCTCTAAGCCACTTTGCTAATGTGAAAAACATATTTTGTAAGTTAGAAAAAATGTAAGAGAATATCTTTATGATCACCCAGCAGGAAAGGATTTTTTTTTTTAACAATCTGCAAAAAACACAATGTCTAAATGAAAAGAAAACATTAATGTATTCAACTATGTTGTAATTTGTAACTTCTCTTTATCAAAGGCAAAGTGAGAAGACAAGTCATGGATTGGGCAAAGTCTTTTGTAGTTACTAGGATTTTTTCATTCTTTATAGATAATTTAATTGTTTTTTAAAAAAATCATAAAGTTATTTTTCCCTGTTTTGAAAAGAAAGCAGTCTTTTCTTCTCCTGCAATAAACTTGCTTGGATAGTTTGCTGGCAGTATTTCACCCGTGTCATCCTAATGTCAATGAAATGGGAACACAAATATGACACATCTTTTTTATTTTGTCTTTATTTGATGAAATGCATTGCTAAAAGTAGAAAGTTAAATCATTTTCTTTCAAATAAATTACTGTTCCCATCCACAGAGAAGCCTGAAAAGGTTCATTAACCCAAGAAAAGGACCTTCACAGCTTCACATCAGCTGTCCCCTGAGTCCTGAACTCATTTTTAAAGAATGGTTGTGCATGGCTCTGTGTATCTGTTGGCACAAACAGACAGAGCCAAGCAATGAACATTCCTTCCCCAAGTTGTCAGTTGAGCAAAGAGAAGGATTAACTTGTGTTTTTTTGGTACAACTTGTGTTTTGGAGAGTCACACCCCTGCTTTACATTCTTCTACTCTTTAATCCTTCATTTTCCTAAAATGCTGTAAACAGATTCACCATATCTACCAGGAGAGTCTCCTTTAAAGAATGTTGTTGATAAGGTTTCATATCCTGGCCCGTGTACAAATCTGGGAGTTACTTAAGCATTGATAAACTTTCAGAGACCACACAATTGTATATAAAATGAAACAGAATAATGGCTACAAAATCCAGCATTTACTTCACTACAGATGTACCCAAGGGTCTGAGCACATGAATACTTTTTGGCATATGGAGACTAGCTTTCCCCCCAATGTAGGCTCAGCTGAAGCAAAATAAATAAATAAACAAATAAATAATGACTTTAATTAACTTTAAATGGCCACCACAATTTGTGTGTCATTTTTAAGAAATGTAAGTGGAATATTCCATTGGTCCAATTATGTCCAATATAAATCATAGAAATATCAAAATATTCTAGCCTCATAATTTTAGGATCATGAAATAAAATGAATGTAAGCCTTCCTCACTGCAGTAAGAATAGGGCACTTTCCATCACTGGGTGGCACAATCTGATTCTCCTCATATGTAAACCCAAGTAAAAATAATAATAATTTTATGGTTTTTAAAATGGGGTTTTATTCTGTTTTTATGGACGTTGTCTTAATTGTGACTAGCCATTAATTTGACTTAGTTATCCCACTCCACGATGTGCCTTAAATTATTCTTCCCTGCTTCTCCTTACTTTCTCTTCCCGGGACCTCAGTGGAAAAGTCAGTTATTTGTAAATACAACGAAAGGAGGTTGAAGTTGCTTTAAGACAAATAAGTGTTATCTTTATCAGGGGAAGAGCTACAGTAATAATAAATATCTCAGAATTATTTTTCCTGCTATGAGTAATAACTAGTCTCTGCGTATTCCTCTGTGCTCTGTCGCAGCCTGCGGCGGTGCCTTTAACTCCTCCACTGGAATCATCAAGAGCCCTGCCTACTCCTACTCAGACTACCCCAACAGCATGCACTGCTGGTACAACATCACCGGTAGAGCTGACAGGGTGATCCAGCTCAAGTAAGACAAGTTTGCCTTCTTTAGAAAATTGCTTCAGCTGTATTTATAGAAAAGATACTCCTTTACAATGGAGAACACTGATTCTCATTGGAGGTGTATAAGGGAATCTGGAAAGGAGAGTGAGGTTCTGGGGTGATAGTCTAAGCCTGGAAAATGGGTTTCCTACCTCCGCACAAGCCAATAATGATTAAGAAACATAGGCACACTATCAGTTAGAAGAGTGTTAAAATTTTCCAACAAAGGAGTTTCATATAATGGGTTGTAAATTTATAAGCCTATCTTAAAATCAAAGGGTGTGGGGAGGGCAAGAGAAAGTAATTTCCATTTGTTGGGCACTTATTAATTCACACTCTCCAAATTCTCTTATTTAATTCTTAAAACAGTCATATGCAGAATGTATTATTAGTCTCATTTTACTGATGAGAAAACTGAGCTCAAAAGAGTCAGATAACTTTCTCTCATAGGGTAATATTGTCTAACTACTTAAGAACTTTATTTATAGTCATGTATCAGAATACCTCTAAAGAGGTACTATACAAGATATCTTACATCACCAGTAAAATTCTTCCCTAATCCTACTTACCCCCAGCAAGACTGATTAAGGGAACACACATCCAGTTGTCCAGAGTAATGAAGTTCAAAATTAATTTTATATAAGATGACATATTCCTAACTGTTGTGTTTCAGTGATAAACAGTATGTGGTGGAAAATTCTGAAAGTTGGTGTAGTTTGTAGCAATGTAGAATTTTTTAAAGAAGCTGGATGGCGAGGACCACTCCTACCTACCTCCCCCAATATACCTGTGACCACTTTCTGCCCTAAAAATCGTACACTCCTTGCAGTTTACCTCTAGGAGCCTCATAAATCAAACGGGTCTGTCTGTAGGCTGTAAAACAAGTTTCAGTGAGCCTCATTTGATTCCTGTATCAGATAGTAAGTGGTCTTTAGACAGCTCTGCCCAGGACAAAAAGCCCTTTAAGTCCCAGGAACAAAAGGATAAACAAAAGCTGTCAGATGGCCAGGAGCAGAAGGCCTTTGACTGGATCACCTGCCCAGAATGGAATCACAGAATTATAAGGCCTGATTCTTGGCATTTGCTGCTGTGGCACAGGATTTGCTTTTTACATACACACACATACTATTCTGTTGATATATATATATATATAAAATCATCATTATATATACTATTATATATGTAATGCATATTATAGACATTATATATATATAGACACATACACACATGAATATATATACATACTGTTCCAAGTATTATCTGTGCTTTTCTGGGAAATTACACAAAATAAAAAGCCAAAACAGTTTCAAGTTCTCTTGGAAACTCAAATCTTTATCTTTCTTTGTTAATGGATTCATGCCATGGAAGATAGATGTATTAGAGAATAAAAAATGAATGCAGTAATTGTGGAAATTATGTAGCTTTTGCTCTGCCCTCATCTTCTTTTAAAAGAACATTAAATGGTACATGTGGTTAAAAGAAAATACAGCACCTTTTCACCCTGTTCTTCATTATCAGTTTGAAAAAATTCAACCAATCAAAACATTTTAGAAAAAAGTGAAAAGATCCTTTTTTTCTTAAGGCTCTTAAAAAGAAGTATTTTAATCATTAGATACTTTCAAATTATTTCATATTAGAAGTTTTTGTCATAGCTGCTGGCAAAAAAAAAAAACAAAACTGAGAAGGCAAAAGAACCTACAGAAATGACAACAGTATATCAAATAATTTGAACAGGTTTTCTTTAAAAAGTAAGCTATAATACACCCACCACAAGTCTTAAAAAAAACCATGTAGGAAGTCTTGGTTGTTTGGGAATTCTGGGAGTAATTACTTGAAATGACAGAGCAGGAGGCCTAGATTAAAACACTGTGTTAGGCCATAAAAGAAAAATTAGGGATGTATCTGTTAGGGTAAATTACAAGTGATAACAAACAACCCCAAGGCACTTTAGCTTAACTCAAGGAGTTTATTTTTCACTCGTTTGAGTTCCTCTAATATGGCTGGTTGCTCAGCCACCCAGGCTGATGATAGGCTTCATTTCTATACCTGAGTCCATGATCATCGCTTCAGTGGGAAGGCAGTGTGGCACATTGAGAAGTCAGTTTTAAAACTTCTTCCAAAAATAATACATATCACTCCTGCTTACATTTTCATGGCCAAAGCAAGTCTTAGGGGCACGTCAGACCTCAAAGTGTGCACAGTAGGGCAATCCTACCAGATGTTGGGAAGGCAGAGAGCTAGAGATGTGCAGTGAGGGCCCCATAGTTACCACAGTGATCTTAAATGTGAATTTCTGGTTGTAGCAATCAAATGGACTCAAGAGAATATAATTTCTTCTTTTCTAGCATTGGTTTTATATTTTTATTTCCTTAATGAGGAGTATTTTATTTCATATTCCTGGTTTACAAAGCATCATTATAATGCTCACCTTTTTAAAAATTTTTTGAGGATCCACTATATGCCAGACACCATGGTCTGGTTTTTATAGCATTTCTTCTACTCTATTATATATATTACATACTTGTTCTTCCCATAAGTAAAGACCAGGATAATAATACCACTTGATCCCACAAAATAACAAGAGAACAGAGTAAATACCATGTTTTTAATAAGACTGAAAAACCAAAGTATTGCTGAAATGATAAATATGCTCAGCTCCTCAAAAGTTAAACTCATATAGACTTAATATGTCCTAGACTGTAAACTCCAGTAAGTCCAGAACTGTATCTTACTCACCTTTATATCCCCAGCATTTATCCTACTTTTTGACATATTGTAGTCACTCAGAAAATTTTGGCTAAACTTTTGAACTGATTAGTAAAATAGTATCTTGTTTCTAATATTTTCTATCAAGTAAAGCTTAGATATTCTGCTCTTAGCCTTTATCTTCTCTACTTTTTTTTTTTTTACAAGAACTAAAGATAAAATTTAATGGAGACCCAAGTGGAGAACATCAGTATTAACAAGGTTCATTTCACAGGTTCAGTGATTTTGATGTGGTTCCCTCTGCCTTCTGCTCCCAAGACTACCTGGCAATTTATGACGGGTCTGACATCAGTGATCCCCTTCTTGGCAAATTCTGTGGTTCTAAGGTCCCACCAAATGTTAAGAGCAGCAATAATAGTTTGCTCCTGGTGTTCAAGACAGATTCATTTCAAACAGCAAGAGGTTGGAAGATATCTTTCCAGCAGACGTTAGGTAAGAATTTTGGATTACGAATCTATTTTTCATGACTGTTAGTTTTCTGCTTTATTTAATATTTTTTTTCACCAGCCTAAAGTTGCTGTTCATATAAGTTTAGAGGAATATGTCAAATAAAGTTTTGCTTTTAAAAATTATATATATTTTGATTTTTAAAAAAATCACTCAACAAGCATACCTCTCTATTATGCAAAGATGAAGTCTGTTTACACATCCATCTCGAATTAGACCTGAGCCTCATTTTATCATCAATAGAAATGATGAAAAGAGAATTAAATGGTGAGGGTCTGAAGGCAGGCAAGAGTCAGATTAAGAAAGAAGGTCTCACAGCCTGTGTTGACTTTTTCTTTAAAAGGGTGAAGAGATTTGGAGAATTTTAAATAAAGATGGCCTGGCCAGACTTGACTTCTGGCAAAATCATAAAGTAGCAAAGTGGAGGAAGGTTCAGGGGACCATATGACCTGAGAAGTAAGAGGCTTGTCACAGCATTCCTGATGGGAAATGTTGAAGGCTCAGACTTACTCAGTAGGGATGGAAAGAGAAAGAAGGGTAGAAATCTCAGAGATATTAGAAGGAAGAATACATCAGAAATACAGTGTTTGGAACTTGATGATTTGAGGATGACTTCTTCTGAGTAACTTGTTGGGTAGTGGTGCCTTAGGACACTGGGATTTAGGGGAGAAATATTACTCTTCGTGTGGAGCTTTTGGATTGGAGGGCCTATGAGATATCTAAATAAATATAGGAGGCAGCTGATGTTTGAGAAGCAATTTGGGCTGGAAATAATGATCTGGGAGTCACCTAGTGAGAAAAGAAAAGCTAGGTATGAGGATAAACTGAAAATAGCACCCCAGTTTATCCCCACTGCGTGTGAGAAAGAGTTATATAACTTTGAGTCATTTAAAATGTAAGGTAGTTAATTCGTTCTCTCTTTCTCTGTGCACAAAGCATGAGTGGCACGGTCTAAGAAAAATCTATATTTGACTCTGGAGAGTATTTTGATTCTTCCATTCGAATATAGATGTGATTAATGTTCTGAAAATGAACAGCTCACAAATGATTCACATACTCTGTGAAGACTCAGAAAGACTGGGAATTTTCTACAGGAAGAATCCTGACGCACTGATCAAATTCTTTCCTACTCTTTTCCCCATGCTGTGGATAACTTTCATACATCTGACACAAAGCAGAGCTTACATTAAACTTCTTTGCATTTGGTATGTTATTTTTTTCATGTATCTTTTGATGGAATCAATTAGACATTTGTGTTTTGAAGTCATCCCACTAAAATGCAGGCTTCATGCAAGTTATATCAGGAAATCACTTTGCCACCGACCTTCCTTGCTTTCAGGCATCACCTTGAAAGCAAGTCTCATGAGCATGCAGAGTATTGCCTTAATAGAATTGCCTTAGTGAAGTGGCATACCAAACACACAGGCTTTTTTTTTTTATACAGGTTATTTTGAAAGAAAAATTAATTTTCCTTTGGAGAGCTCTTGCACAAAAAACTCATATATTCTTGCCTTTGGCACAGACTACAATCAAATGACATATATTTGCATTTGATCTTGCTACCTGCTCTAAAGTTGTTTTCCTGTTTCCTAATATATTCTCACATGACCATTGAAATAATTGCAAATTGCCCCACACTGCTGTCATCTGCAAGAAGCTTCCCAAGTTAGCCAATATTCCTTGCCTCATTAATTACTATGTTTTTCTGAGCTAGATAAAAGACTTTTTGGACTTACTGTGATTTTCATAAAGTAACACAGAAGGAAAAATCTTACACTGTCAGAGGCACTGTTTGTGAGTACTGGGCACTTCCAGTCAGTTATGTTTTCTTCTGCTCACAGTTAGACAAAGGGTTTAAAGGCAGAGAGCAGAAATGGAATTTCATTAGCTACTAAATTTGTGCTACTACTGCGTTTCATGGTGATGCCTTGTACCTCTTTTCCATCTGTAAAATACCGTGGGCCACTTGGAAATATTCAAGAAGTCATTTAATGGTCTTTAGTGGTATTTTTTTACTGAAAACCTAAGGGTTATAATTTTGGATTGTTTTGGTCTCACAAAGCTTTCAAGACCATGCATGTAAGTTCACTGATCATTCTGCAATTTTGTTGTTTGTGGTGAGGAGAAAAGGGAAGGAACAGTAAGAGTAGGTTAAATTCTAGGGTTTATAGAATCTTTTAGGTAGAAATCTGGATGAAAAACTTAGACATGGCTAATAGCATGCATGCACCTTTCACATCCATCTCAACCCACTTAAGAGAAGGAAAGCAACTTTCTGAACAGGACAGTGAATCTGTGCCTCCAAAACTGTCAGTTTAGCCTGGAAAATATTATCTTCACAGAGTAAATAACTGCTGTGAAGAGGGGACCATTTTAGTTTGTACCTCAGGTTAGTTTATCTTGACTAAAACACCAGGGTTTTGCTAACTTGCTATTCAGATTGTACTCTTGATGATAATTTATATACATCTACTTTAATTTTTCAGAGGTTAGTAAAGAGCCTCACTCACATAATTATGTGGCTCTCAGGTAAACTTTTCCCCATGAATTTGTCACATTTATATTGCTAATGGGTCAGAACAAACTTGGGGAAATATCCCCTAGTTTGTTGCTAATTCTGAATACATGGTGCAACTGAGCCTGCCCCCGTCATGGCCATCTGGTGCTACAGGCCTCAGGCGAGGGGCCTGCTAGGGGGAAGCAGAGCAAAGGCTGTGCAGGAGCTGCTCCCTGGCTGTGAGGTCAGCCGCCTTCCCGCCTCCTGCCCCCCACACTCCAGCAGCGCATGAGTGATTGGCCCCAGATGACTGAGAACCAGCAGTGTGATCATTCTGGGCTTCAGGGATCTGTGCAGCTCTGAATTACCTGCAAATCTCGGTGTTTTCCTTGAGAATACTTAGCTGTCATCCAATTGTCAGTGGTGTCTATGATCCCATAAGCTTAAGAAGCCATCAGTCCTGTGGATTTGCCTGAACTGGGCTTGCTCTGTAGCACAGAACTGACCTTTGTAAGTACCCTGTATTCTGTGAACTTCTGCTAGTTGAGTTTCTGCCCCTCCTTTACCGCCAAGTTCTCCTTCATCCGTGCTGTGCTTCCATGTATCACTCACGAAGCGTTTCAGCCTTGCAAACATGATTTTAAAATCATCAAAGCCCCCCTTTCTTCTTGGTATACTGGCCTCATGTCAAAGTGGTGTTCATTTGCTCAATTCATTACCATGCTCATCATATTCGACACCAAACTTTTGTATATAGGATTAGATATTACTGTGCATGCCATAGTCATTTCTTTTTTCAAAAGTAATGTATTCTATAACACTGGCTAAATGGCAGGGTCAAAACTGAACCTGGCCCGATTAGGTGTGAGGTTGGTAGGCAATGGGAATCAGTGAGTTGCCAAGGAGAAAGTGAGGTGTGACCCCCTAGCATGCCATGTCACCTTGGAGAAGGTGGCAGTGTCATGGACAAGGGGCCGTCAGTGACTACAGGTTCTCCTCACCTAAGGCTCTGAACACTGGACACGTGACCAAAGCTCCCAGCTCCCTGTTGCCCACAGCCCACGTGCTGAGGACGAGGACCACTACCTGTCTTCCTCACCCTGAGGTGCCGGCATTATAGAATGAGCCAGGCAGCCTTCAGGTCTGACTCACAGACCTTGTTACGAGACAAAGGCAAAAACACCAGAGCATGTGTGTAACAAGGACAGAGTGAACCACAGTCCACAAAGGTGGAAGCATGCCCAGATGGGAAGAACTGTAGACCAGCAGATGGCCCCCACCCAGCTGCTGCAACACGTCATTGCCCAGCAGCATGCTTGAGGTAAGTCCCACAACACTCAATTTTTATCCACTAGGAAAGATCAGTTTGAAATATTACCACTTTTGCTCTTTTAAGAATGTGATAGAAATGAAGTAGCTAATTCCTGTAAGGTGCCTTAGACGTCAAAGAGAAAGGCTTATGTACCAGGAAGTAATACTGAAGTCCTGGATTTCTGTAAGGCCCTATGACCTGCCCACCCTCTCTAAGGTGGGGGCTGGGAGTGTATGTGTGGCAGGGGTCATTAGCATCCAGAGGACCAGTCCATGGCACAATGATTTCTTGTTCTTTCTTATACACTTTGCACTGAAATCTAACCAGCAAATCCTGAAGTATGTTTTATAACTTAGATCTGAAATCAAAGGCTAAATTTCAATTAAATTCTAAGGTCTTGCAGTGTCCTAGCATGTAACTTTTTCTCCATCGATATTGGCTGTTTGAATGAATTAAAGAATACATGGATAAATCCTAATGACTTCATAATTACATCATATATAATAAGTATGATATACATTGTTATTATAGATTCACCTCTTTCTCAAAATTGAATCTTTGTTCATATAATTTAGCTGTTATTTAAAGTAATTAATTGGATCACTTTCATCCTCAGAGAACTTGGGAACACTGGTCAGACTAAACATTTGGGTCATATATGTATAGTCTCTAGATTTTTACCTGCTACCTTAACATCAGGGAAATGTCTGTCAAACATGCTAAAGGAAGATGGTGGGAGTGGTGGGAGGAAGTTGAGGGAGTTGAACAAGGTTTTATTTGTAAGTGGGGTAGCAAAAGAAGGAACAGGTGACAAGAAAGCTGGCGGGACTCCAGGGCCCCAAAGATGGAAAATATGGTCACAACAAATGGAGAAAAATATAAGATGTCCAAGTCAGATTCTGGTCTCTAGTTATTTTTAAGTTTCGCTGTTTTGGTGTTAAGTTTGGAGTTTGAGAGGCATCCTAAACCTCTGTTTAAACAATAAGGAATAAACTTAAAAACATTCAGTGTTACCAAATATCAATGTGTATGTATCTCCAAGTGCTTCTTAGCAGCCTGATAGAAGCTGCCAACCATATTACGCACTGCTCAAAAAACCCTCAGTTTAACAATAGCAGGGCTATTACTCAAAAGCAATTGTTGTCTGTTCTCCTCATGTCCTTTGCTCCCTCTGAT